GGGAGATTCTCCAGCAGGCTCCATTGCCCTGCTGCAGTCAGCCATTTGCCCTCCTCTTCCTCCCTTCCCTCCCCCCCCCCTCGCCTGCAGCAGAGCAGGCCAAGCTGTGGGGGCCCCTTCCCACCCAGCCCCCAGACCCCTTCCCGCTGCCCAGCATCCAGCCCCAGGCCACCGATAAGCGCCTGGCACAGGGTGGCAGGGCCCTGCCAGAGCAAAAGCTCTTCTCCTCGCCATCAGCCCTGTGTTCAGTTCCCACTTGACCCGTGTTGGCGGTTTGATGGCAGGCGGCACACACCCCTGTTCCACGCAGCCTGTCCTTCCTTGCGCTGCGGGGTTACGTGGCCATGCTCGGGGCGTTGAGGAGAGCCACCAGGCTTTGGGGTCTTTCCTGAGTAGTGTTTTCCTCTGTGGCTATTCTTTACCCGTCTACGGTTTGTTTTTGCAGAACTGGACGAGGGGAATGTCTTACTGTCTCCACTCAGAAAGCCATTTGGATACCGGGCCAATATATGTGCGTGAAAATGGGAAGCTGCACGTGGTAAATCAGGGTGCAGGCGGCATACAGAATGTCACTCCCAAAACAAGACCTTTTAGGCTGTTTTCCAGAGGATTTTCAGTGGAGCTTTGTATGAACAGGGAGGACGATAGGGCAAGGAGGCAGAGGACTGATCATTTCATCTTCACGTACACTAAGGAGGGGAACCTCCGGTACTCGGCCAAGTCTCTCTTCAGCCTAGTGCTGGGTTACATTTCTGACAATGTTGATCACATTGACTCGTTGATTGGTTTCCCAGAGCAGATTGCTGAAAAGCTCTTTTCAGCTGCAGAAGCAAGACAAAAGTTCACAGAACCAGTAACGGGACTGAGAGCTCTACAGAAGTTTACTGAAGCATATGGCAGTTTGGTGCTATGTTCGTTATGCTTGCGGAATAGGTAAGTGTGTTCAGTAACAAATATCGTCATCTGCTAGTGCTTCTTGCTAGCACACTTAAAGTTTCCCTTAAATTATTTTCTCTAAAAAATAATTAAAAAAAATCTCATGGGCATATGACACCACCTAATTTTAATGAAATGACCTGAGCCTTACCTGACTCTTCTGCTTGCTTCCTTTTGTCCCATTCCTTTCCTACAAGTGCAGCTGCTGGTTTCATTCTAAGACACAAATCATAACACAGGTAACAGACTACATCCGTGTTAACTAACAGGGGATTTTATGTGAAGGATTAAACCTGCAACTATTTTTTAACAATAATAATCAGCACTTCCACAGCAATCTGTGTGTTTAATGCCTTCTCAGGTGTTTCATGGGATGTTTTTGTAATTGCTGTTTATAAGCATTTCAACATATTTAGCTGACTACAGGTAATATACACCCTTGCAAACTGTCTGGATTTATTTACTATAAGCTTGCCATCCCATCATTCAGAAGAAGATACAGTCTTGTAGGTAAGTTACAGGCTTTGAAGTCAGGCAGGTTTTACCTTAGTTTATTGTGGTTCCCGTCCCCATATTGAATGTGCTTTGATGAGGTTCTGATTAGAGTCCAGCACCTGTTTTCCCATGTTCTCAATGTCCACGTTGTCTTTCACTAAAAGAGTCTTACCAAGCTTAAAACTGGATTATGTTTTTAAAGCCTTGCTCCTACTAAAGTCTTTCCCAGTAATATAACCCGTCTATCTTCCATCTGTACGCTTGAAAAAGGGAAGGTTTATCCAGTTTAAAATCAAAGCACAGGCATATTCATCTGAAGTGCCAAGGGTGTTCTGAGCACAGTAGGAATGTTTGAGCAGAGGTCAATTATCCTTTGTTTTATCCTTTAAACCTACTCCCTTTTTATCTCCAGTACAGATACTTTTTATGGGCTTAATTCAGAAATGAAGTTACTTCTGGCATCTTTTGCCATTACAGGAAGCTGAGTTAAGTATTGAGCCTTTGAAATCCAGGAAGTAAGGTATTAAGGCGTTTTCTGATGAATCTTACTTCTAAAAGAGCCCATTCTCTTCACAACCCCCCTGAGCTAGTGGTATCTTTCAAGAATTGGCTTGCACTTTGACTATAGGTACTGCCTTCCACATAGCTGAATTGCGTGGCAAAGGGATTTGGTGGGGTAGTTTGATAGGTATACTTGCAGTGGGAGGATATTAAGGTCTCCTTATTTGCATGGCCAAAGAGGTGTTCCTTGAGGGATCAAATTAGTAAGCAGCCCTCATTTCAGCAGTGAAGATGCTGACCTCGTGGTTTGTCTTGCACTGGGAATATAAGGTAAATTCAGGAGAGAGTAGTGAATTTGGGGCTTGTCTTGCCACGGGGACAGTAAAGAGGTAAATGCAGGGGAGATTGGTGAGGTAGTGACTGCTACGTGCTTATTACTGCATACTCATGCATGCCATTCTTTAGTGGTTTGTTCTGATCTCTAAACCTCCTGCTGAATAGTTCCAGCACAGATGTTTGCATGGCTGCAGAGTGAATCAGATCAGGGAACCAACACAGCTAAAAAAATAACACACTGAATAACTACTGCCTGGGGTGTAGTCACAGCTCTAGTTGGAGTCCTGCAGGTGTCCTCTAGTGAAGTATTTTATTTACGTATATAAAAAGTAAAATTTTGCCATTTGACAAGCTATCCTGATAACATTTGAGGTAGATTTTAAACCTGGATGAATGTGGGTTTGTCTACGCGCTTCCTAGATACTGAGGAAGAGCAGTTTGTGAAGTTGATTTATAGTAAACTGGAATATATATATTTTGCATTATTCTGAAATAATACAATAATAATCTGTAAAGAAGTCCCTAATTGCGATGTTTGCCAGATGAAGTCTTAATTGTTAGTCTGATATTTTGCATCAAAGCAAAAACATGACATTTGTTCAAGGATAAGACTGGGAACTCAGATGTGTTGTGTGCAGACTGCACATAAAAAGGTAGTTAGGACAGCTGGATAATTTCTGTCAATTTTCACATAGGTACTTACAAGAAACTACTGCATTATCCTTGTGATGCTTGAGGATATAGGTGCCGCCTTATATGCCTGAACGCTGATAGCTTTTTTTTTTCCCTCTTTGCAGATACCTGGTTATCTCTGAAAAGCTAGAAGAAATTAAGTCTTTCCGGGAGCTGACATGTTTGGATCTCTCCTGTTGTAAACTTGGAGATGAACATGAACTGCTGGAACACCTCACCAAAGAGGCTTTGTCTAGGTACTGATTTCTTGAGACACAGCTAAAAATAAGACTTTATTTTCCTATCACTAAGCAGTTCAAAGAATCAGGCTGTGACTTTAAAGGAAAGTTTCACAGGCAGCAATGTGTAAGTTTGAAGATTTTGGTTGTTCATAGAACCGTTCCTGAGGTAAACAAAATACAGAATTTATTGTACACAAAGCTCGTGATCCAAAGCACATAAAGGTCCTACAAATGTGCAACATCATTTACTGTCTCGTGTTTTTAAATCAACTTTTTATCATTTCCATTGGCCAGGTAAAAACTGCATCTTAAAAATTTGGAACAGTTTTACACTTTTATTTCCTTTTTAAGAGGGAACCTTATCAGCCAAATTTTTAACTAAACCAGTGTTCCAGATGAAGATTTCTGCAAGCAGGAGGTTGAATATTTAGTTAATTAACATTTCAAAAGAATAGATTTTATAATTTTGTTTGATACTAAAGATTGAAAAGTAGAAAATTTTGGAAATCAATAGACAGGATGACTGCTAATTAGGGGTTATTATGTTACTAGAAGATTTTGGTGCATTTTACGTCAAGGTTTTGTCCTGAAGTGCCCTGGAGAATGTTTTAGTGTTATGTTTTCCCCTGAGTTTTGTTCATCTACAGTATAATACCTCATTGCTTACTTAAAATCATTGCCGTATCTCTTACCAAATCTGTCCTCTCCCATTTTGCCAAGTGTTTTTCTCTTTTTAGTTTTGAGTGGATTTGAGATAGGCAGTCTTGGTTTAAAGAACTTCACTGTATAAAGAACCTTACTGTCTCTGTTAGCAAATGCGTGTGCTCTAGGATCGATTTGTCACTGGAGCTCTGCGAATAGCTGATCGAGTAAGTGCTTCTGTTGAGCTAGCAGAGGGAATATAAAGATATTTGTTAGTCCTACTAACCCAGGGTTCGTTCTTGCTACTTCTTACTAACGTTAACAAAGTAGACTGAAGGGTTGGCACAGGAAGACCCCGGCCTTCTGACACAGAGTTTTAGGACATTTTGCAAAACTGTCTAAAACAATGACTACACACTATGCATTTGTATCTCTCCTCCCAGCGTAAAACGGCTTCTCCTGAAAGACAACTCTTTATCAGACGCAGGTCTTCGC